AGAAGGCTGTCATGGGGTGTACCGTCCAGAGGAGGGAATTGGATGCTGAGTGGAAAAGCAGCTCCCGCATAGCCTAGGACCTCTGGCTAGCAGTTGCATTAGGGAGGAACTCAGTCTCCCCATCACTGCCAGGGTGCACTGTGCCTACTCCATCTAGGCCACCTCCTGGGCATTTCCTCCTTTGGGGCTTCACAGTGGTGGGACTCTGGAAGCATCCTGAGGAAACAGAAATGCTCAGCCTGTACCAAGACGAAGAGTCGGTTGAGGCTAGCGGTACACCAGTGTCATCACGCCAGGAGGCAAGTTCCACGGTGCAGTGTGCAGCAGTCCCTGGGCAGAGGACCCTCCAAACCACGGGCAGCAGGGTCTCTGTCTGAGCTCTGGGTCATGCATTTGGCGGCTCTTCCAGCCACCAGACCAGAACTAGTCATCCAGTCTCAGCGCTCCTATTAAAATGGAGTTGACAACATTCCCTCTCCCCGGCACTGTCTGGCTGGGCCTGAGGACCGAGTGGTGTAAGGTGTAAACCTTTACAGGCATTCTGCTCCAACTACAAGTAGAGTTACACCGAAAGCACGGTTCTGTTAGCATGGGTGGCGGGACAAAACACTGAGGTAATAACTGGCAGCTATCCCTTCCAACTTCTCCTGAGGTGGGGGCTGAGTGGCCCAGTCAAACATGTTTCAGCTTTGAAATAAATATCAGCCTCGATAGCCAAGGTTTCACTGTGCAAAATAGAGGGTTTTTTTTTTTCATTTAATAACAACACTATTTATTCTTTTTTCCTTGTTTTGTCTTTTTGCATTTTTGTGTGTATTTTACATGTGTGTAGGGTGTCCGTGTGTGTATATGTATGTCTGTACATATGTGGGTATGTTATATAGATGCATATGTATATAGGTGCCTATGTACGTGATGTCTGGAATCATCCTCAACCCATCTTCTACCTCATTTATTGAGGCATGGTCTCTCAATCAAACCCAGAGCTCACTGATATGGTTAGTTTCATATGCCAGCTGGCTCTGGGGACTGCCATGTACACACAACAGTTGCTTGGGTTCTGGGGATCCGAACTCTGGTCCTTACACTTGCATGACAGCTACTGAGCCATCTATCTAGCCCCCCTCTTTTGCTCTAGAGCTTATAAAAGACTCAGAGCCCTTCGTTAAGGAAGGGAATGGCTCAGTTGCCTTTAGCCTACTGGCTATGGGTAGGATAGGACCTCTGTTGGTCTTTTCTGTGTCGAACACACAGATTACAAGCCCAGCACCACTTTGAGATCTTTGGCAGCAGTTAATTCTGCAGCTCACACACGATTGAGCCTGTATGGTAATGAGTATTCAGAGACAGGTAATGCCTGGGGTGTGCTCAACAACCTAAGACAGAGCACCTGTGTGGCCTGGGCAGGTGTCTCCATGAAGGGTAAGGTGACCTGCTGACGCTCCCATACAACCTAAGTCAGAAGCTCATTTTTTAGTAAAAAGGGGACCTGTAGGGTCCTGGCCCCTGTTTTGGGTAACTGTTGCCTTGCTTGCTGACCTTGACCTTGATATCCTCCCTATGCTAATTCCCTCCTTGGTTCCACCCTCCTGAATGCTTAAGGAAAGTTCCTTGTCCGTGTATCCTGCATAATGGGCGTTAACAGCTTAGATGCAAGATTGTAAAACATCAGTAGCGAACTTCTGCCCTCCAGGGTTCTCCCATTGTGCTGTAAGCCTGTATTTAAGACCTCTTCCCTCCTTCAATAAACGGCATTTGGCATTTAAAAAAAAAAAAAAGACACAGAGCCTTAATGCCATGGAGTGGAGAATTTAGGCCCTGGTGACACAGCGGTGAATACCCTAGCGAGGAGAGCAGCACGGATCAGAAGGGGTTGCTGTGGAAGCTCCGGGGATGCCTGTGTGTTGGGGCTTGGGTGAGATAGAGAACGCAGTCCCACGTGCTATGGGGGATCAGATGAGGGGAAAGTAGGCTGCACTGTGGAGCGGAGCCTAAAGAATCATGAGGTCTCTATAGAAGTGTCCTGCGGCCGATCGGCAGCTCATGGGGCAGTGTGTGGCCCCTTCCACCTCTGGAGTAAGGGAGCACCTGAAAGCCTGATCTGGGGCAGGCAGAAGGCCTCTGTGAGAAGAGGAGCTTTAGGACCCAGAGCCAAGTGGCTGTGGATACTGATGGGCAGACACAGCTCCTGGAGTGAAGGAAGGGGCAGTGGGGACCAGTAGGAAAGTGTAGATACTCTGAGAACTTGAGTCTCATGCCTGCTCTCTACCAAGCAGGACAGGGGAAAAGAAATATGGAGTTTAAATTAAGGACCAACCGGGTTTCCATGTTTCCCCAGGCTGACTGACATCATATTTTTGTCGTAGTTATTTTACAAAATGGTATTTGGCAAGTTCAAAACTAAAGAGAGTGTCAGCAAAGTGGGGGGGGGGTGAGGGGGGCAGCAAGAAGGGTTGCTACTTAGGGCCATTCTACATGAGTTCAGGCATGCCTGGGTTCCTGGAGTTCCTCAAGGTCCCAGAGCATGTGGCTCTATACACTCATTGGACACAATGAATGGATCCAGGTGCCTCTGGTACTGATTCCCAAAAAGTCAACCCTGTCAGCCTGTGTTTACAAAGCACCTCCCACAGGCCAAACAAAAAAGTCACTCCCTTCAGGAAGTCCCCGACACACCCAGGTGGGCCCTGCTGCTTTCTCCAGCTGATGCATCTAGCTTGTCGTGAAACCTTCAACACCCGCAACCGCAACCGTGTCTTGAGGGAAAGGGCAGGGGAGACGTTACTCTATAAGTCCTTCTCAGTGTGAGAGGTGACTCTCCTTGGCCATGCCTGCCCTGCCCCCTGCCCTCTAGAGCGGAGGCATCTAATCCCTGTCAGGATAAGAGGAGTGAAGGAATGGAGTGTCAGGCTTGGCGCATGACACAGTGGATTCTTGGTCTTTGTAGCATGAACAAATGCATGCAAGTGCTAAGGCCTGGGGAGGCTGTTTATGCAAGAGAGAGATGCCCGATTCAAGGTGCAAAAGATGAGCAAGACTAGCGTCTACAGTGTGGTTTTATCCACCATGGAGGTGCTCAGATGGCTGTGCGGCCAGGCAGTGGGTGGGGCTGTCATGCCCCCCCACCCCACCCCTACACAGAGGAGGAAGGCCAATTACCGAAGACAGGCGCCTCATTTTACTTGATCTCTGGTTGCGGGGCTTAACCAGGAGCTTGTGTTTAGCTGCAGAGTTATCCAGGCAGGAGGAGATTTCTGGAGGGTGGCTGAAGTCAGCCACAGGTGCCAGGCTGCCATCCAAGGTCCGGGAGGAGACGGCGGCATCACTCGTGTGGTCAGGAGACTGTGGCCGCGATGAGGACACCAAGATCTTCACAGTACAAGGAACAAACACACCAAGCATTAATTTAGGGACAAAGGGCGGAGACTGCTGTCCTACCAACCCCTCTTTAGTGCACTTCTGTACCTGGGAGAGAATATTTCCAATTGGCTCTTGACAGAGAATGTTTTAGAATACTCCTTTAGAGCAAACGGATGGGAGTTCAAAGGGTGGGGGCCAATCCTAAGGCCATGGGAACAGGGTTCTTTAACAGGAAGAGTTTCCACGCTACTTTCACCAACAAAACAGAGTAGCCCAGAGTCTCCAGGGGTGGAGGGACCTGCTGATTTCATCCAGCCGGGACTGTGGCCCCGCAGTGGGATCTCACAGGAAAGGGCTGAGGCCCCTGCCCAGCCAGCCCTTCTCCTGGTGCTTCCTTTGTTCATTCTAAAGGGTCTCTAGGGCCTCCCAGGAGCCGGGCTTCCAGCTACCATATGGTGAGCTACAGATGTGTTACTAGTTTACACCTCAGTGGGGAGGGACTGACAGTCAGCAACAGCAAGTGCGTTGCCATGGGGGAAGGGGCTTCTGGCAGCCATGTGGAGAAAGAGAAACACCCTAAGACACCCGCCCATTGAAACATCGTGCCCTGCGCTACTGAATCAGTATGTCCCACTCCACTGAATACAGCAAGCCCCGCCCTACTGAATCAACAGGTCCCGCCCCACTGAATACAGCAAGCCCCGCCCCACTGAATACAGCAAGCCCCGCCCCACTGAATACAGCAAGCCCCGCCCCCGCCCCACTCAATACAGCGAGCCCCGCCCCACTCAATACAGCAAGCCCTGTCCCACTCAATACAGCCATCCCCTCTGGGAGTACAAAGGTGTGTTTCAGGGCAAAGCATGGACGTTACAGCACACGCAGCCCTGATGAGGAGCAAGACACAGAGAATCTGGGATGTGCTGGACTTGAGAACACTCCTGCCACCTTTAAACAAGCAAGCAAACACAGATAAACAAAACAAACAAACAAACAAAACAAAACAAAACAAAAACCTGCACCTTTCTATTGGAGCACTGGACTAAATATTAGTGCTATGCTTATATTTTCTGTTTGGTTGTTGAGATAAGGTCTCTCGATGCAGCCCTGGCTGTCCTGGAACTCAATATATAGACCGGGATGGCCTTGAATTTACATAGATCTGTCTGCTTCTGTCTCTTGGGTGCTGGGATTAAAGCTGCATGCCACCATTCCCAAATTTTGGTTTCCTATGATGATAGTAGACTGGATATACTATCGAATAACTGGTAAAACCCCTCAGAATTCATTTTAAAATATAAAGTAATAATCAGAGGAATAAAAGATTAGGTAAGTGCTTGCCCAGCACAAGCGACCCCCATTTGGCTAATTAAAATCTGTGCACTGCAGTGGCCATCGGGTTTGGAGCTGAGTTCCATCTTCAATGAATGAAGCTGCTCCTCTGGCCTGATCCAGCCAATTGCAGACAAAAGCAGCTGCTGTGAAAGTCAGACGCTCAAGGGGTACAGGAAGTCAAAGATGGGTCAGCAGCAGCTTGCTCCCAACAGGAATCTCCTCACCACAGAGCCTGGCACACACAACCATATCTAATCTGGAAGAGGGATAATGGAAATGTACTTGGGGGTGTTTTAAGGCACTAACAGGTGCAGTTTTAACTCCACAGAGTAAGGCGACTGGACAGACAACCTTCTCATCGTCTAGCCCTTCCTGAAGTTGGAGAGCAGGTATGGGTAGCCTATTGCCCCTAGACCCAGCTCTTACTGTGAGCAGGGATATGCTTACCCTGAAGCCAAATTCTGGGAGTAATTCTCTGGGCAACTTCATGGGAGTTCCCAACCCTAGAGCTGGTTAAAAATCAGCCACATCCCAGTCTTGACTTTTCATTAGTAATATTCTGGGAGCTCACAACTACAAAACAACAACAACAACAACAACAACAACAAAAAGACAAAACAAAACAAAAAAACCCAACCAGCTAGTGTGCGCATGCAGGGGAGAGAAAATATATGTCCAAAGTTGAGAGGTTACTGAATACAACTCCAAGCAATCCAGAAGTGGTAACTCTACAGTTTCATTGTAAGCAATGCCCTGGCCAGGCCAGGGGTGATGTGATCCAAGTATGCCCAAGGCAGGAGTGCTGTACAGCTCTCAAACACAAACTCTGTTCTTTGTTTTTCATAGGTCAATATAATTTGGATCATTTCAATTCTGTCTGCCCTCAGGAATAATGCTTGTTAGTATGGGGGAAATGGCCATCTGTTTTATCATTTATATATGAATACATTACATGGATGCTAATGTTCTTACCACAAACCAAAATGGCATCATGAGCGTGCTGGGGTGTTTATTCATGAGATGGAGTCTATGGGGAGGGCAGTATTGAGGATCACTTCTCCAGTGACTACAGCCAGACCCTGCTGGTCAAATTTTCATGGGCTGCCTTGTTTCCCAGAGGGTCCCATGTGACTTGCCCAAACCAACAGGTTTCTTTCGTTGTGAATGGGACACAGAGCTGAATGCTATTAAGTGTTTACTGTTGTTCACTGTGTCCTCTGGCCAATGTCGTGACAGCAGGGAGAGGCAGAGGTAGCTAGTTCCCTTTTCAGTGGCATTCTGGATCTGGGCATCTGCTCAGACAAGACAAGGCACAGAGCAGATGGCATCTGAGTGACCACACAACCACACGACATGATAGTGCGCAGTCTCCCTCATTCACAGAGATCTGGTGGGGAGACATGAGGGGCCTCCAGAATTTTAGCAACGCTTAGTGACAGGTGGGATAGAAACATTTAGGGGCGCACATATTGCACTTGCCTTTATAGCTGGGCTTGGACCCACATCATGCAGCAGGGACATCTCTGGGGGGCTCCGGGGCAGTCCGTCATCCTCAGAGCTCATACCAGTTTCCTCTGCCCTCTTGGTAGGAATGCCTCCTGGAGGCGGCGGCCCCAGCTTCACATTACATTGTATCTTTAACTAGGTTGAAGGAACAGCAGTCATTCTTAGCATTTTCATCAATAACACCCAGCAACAAGTCTTCCTGCTCTGATTCATTCATTCGGGAAATAACGTCAGCACCATTGCATGACGCAGAGCACCGGCCTGAATAATTGCCTGTCCCCAGTTCCCTCGCTGATGTCCTTGTGAATCAGGCACTCACCAACAGTGCATCCGCATGTGACTTGCCTGCCGGAGGAGAACTGTGAAGACCCTGTGACTCTACCTTCGATTGTATCAAACTGCTAAGCTGAAATCTTTTAGGGACTTCTGGGTTAATTAACCCTGGACAGACACCCAAGCGACAGTGCCCAGCCAACACTTACCTGCAAGGCCTTGATCCGGTCACACACATTTTCTTGGGAAAACACCCGCACGGGCCGAGCAGGGTCCTGCCCCGATTCAGGAAAGAAAATACTGTCGTGTGAAAGGGCGCGGTTGCCCAGAGTGCCCCTGGACTCCCTAGGATCAAAAGAGTCACTGTGAGCTTTTGCCCACCTCCACCTGTCCCTGATCCTAGGGACTTAGAGGGAGAAAGGGGGCGCGTGAGTGGCATGTCCCATAAGCCCTCCGTCACGCGTAGTTAGCAGCTATTTGTCTCTGTCCCTGTCAAATACTAATGAGAACACTCTACAGAAGATATTTGAAGGTTGTAGGAGATTTTTTTTTTTTGGATTAGTGGAAAAAAACAAAGTTTGATGAGGTGTGAGGTCCAAGACAGCAAGCCTTAGAGAGGGAAGGCTGGTGCTGGCTGGGTCCTGTGGGAATCTGTCTCAGATGTCCTGGGAGGGTGAGGTTACGGACTGTGGGCTAAGCTCATGTGTAGCCCCACCATAAGCTGGAGGCTGCTGGCACAACAGCATCTCCCCAAGATGGTCCAGATCACACATCTATGGCCCCTGTCTGATGATCTGGCATGGTTTGCGTACCCTACCACTGTGCTTGTGACCCGAAGCATGGCAGCCTGGCTCCAAGCCCAAGGACCCAGATTTGGAACTGAAATCACAGGGCACTCATAAAATGCTCTCAGAGGATGTGGGAATTAGCTGTCAGACTTCCCTAGCCTCCTAAATAATAGGTGGAAGGAGATGACTGAGGCCACTGGTTAAGGAAGGAAAGCCGCCTCGGCATGCATGGGACATCTTGTGCACAGCAGCCCCACCCTGTTCTCCTTGGGCATCCTGTCGTCTATGGGGCACAGGGGACTCTGAGGTGTGGCCCGTCCCACTGCCTATCCAGCTGTGTTACTAGTGAGCGCTCTATTGAGCACCCCAGCTCAAAGGTGTTTCCTTTCTAGGCGGCAAGAGCAAGCTTGCAAGTGGAAATCCAGAGTGCCCAGACGGTGTATCTTCACAGGCCCTCAGAAGGACTCAGCCCAGAGAGCACACACTAACAGCAACTCTCAATGCTAAAGCCATACATACACACACCTAGATTTACTCCCTACAGTCAACAGCCTGGGGCCACCCCCTAGAAACCACAACTACTGGCCAAATACCTCCAGTCCAGATGTAACTAGCCAGATGTAACTAGCCAGATGTAACTAGGAGTAAAGGCAGCAGGAAGAGGAAAACCCACCAGAGGCCACAGGCACATGGTCATTCATGATTGCAGTATTATGTATGTCCTTCAGCAGGTTTCAAATCAGAGGAGCTACTGGTGTGTGTGATGGAGGGCTGGGCCGGTGACCGAGGGGAGGAGGACTCTGAACTGGCGTGGGCGTACCAGAGGACACTGAGTGGAAACAGAACACACGGGATAGTGTGGCCCAGCTGTGTTAAGTGGAGGGTGCGTATATATGTAAATATGCGGTGAGCATGTGCACATGCCTGCTAATAACTTGTAAAATAAAAAAGAAATGGTACCTGGAAGATACATGAGAGTGGTTTCTTTAAGTGGGAAGGACAGAACTAGACGGGGAAACAGGGTCAAAGGTAACAACGTTTTCAATTTTGTCTTTGGAACTATTTAATGTGTTACACAACTGGACAAAAATCAATCAAAAAGGGAAGTCTCTAAGACTAGGAAAACAAAAACAAAAAAAGAAGCCTAATTTTCTTGCAGACATGAGGGCTCATGCTTGTAATCCCAGCACTGGGGAGGCAGAGGCAGGAGGATCCTTGTGGGAAAGGGGAAAGAGAAGTTACTCCGCTGTAGAAGGAAAACAGTAATTTTGTTAAAAGTCCAAGGTTTTCAGTCTAACAGGAAATAGAATACGACGAAAAAAAGTAAAAAACTTCATCTTTCTTGGAATTGGAAGTGTCAGTGAGTGAACTGCTCAGGATTCTCTTAAAAATAAAGCCATTTCCTACTTCAACCCACGAGAGGTCTACGAGAGGCAATGGCCAACTAGCAATCATGGCCACTGAATCACGACCACACTGTGATCTCCGAGACAACTTCACATTAAAAGGAAGGAAACGTGGTTTGTGAAAACGATCCAAGCCAGGAAATATCCGGCATTAGCCTGGAATCACTCACTGCCCAGGAAAGCAAGGGGCCTCTCCGAGATGGCTGGGCTCGTGACCAAAAGGCCGGGGAGCTAATCGGAAGTGACCCTTGATAGCTCAGCATGAGACAATGAAGAAAGACTGCTGTGGGTCAAAGCTCACCAAATATATTCAAAACCAGTGCGTTTGGAGTTGATACGCGGTTCAGTCCGTAGAGTGCTTGCCTAGCATGCGCAAGGCCCTGGGTCCAATCTGCAGGACCACATAAAAATGGGTGCGGCGGCACACACCTATAATCCCAGCATTCTGAAGATGGAGGGAACGTCAAAAGTTCAGGACTGCCCTTGGTTACATAAGGAATTTGAGGCCAGTCTGGGTTACATGAAATTCTGTCTGAATAAAATAAAATAAATAAATATTTTTTAAAAACCAACTGTGTTCACAATGATCCTTTAGTCGGGGGGGGGGGGGAGGAATACCTAATATTTTGGTTGCTATTAGAAGGTGTGAAGGTATCAGGTACTATTCTGGAAGTGGAGCAACAAGCATCATTCTGTTTTTTTTTTTTCCTGAATAGATTGTGTTTTAGGCTATCATGAAGTTGACAAAGGAAAGCTATTTTTTATTTCAAATTTATTTAATTTACACGTATATAAGGGTTTGCCTACACATATGCACAACACATGAACTCCTGGTGCATGAGGAGGTCAGAAAAGGACATTGGATCTCCCGGAACTGATGTTACAGATGGTTGTGAGCCACCGTGTGAGCGCTGGGCACTAAACCCGGATCCTCTGCAGGAGTTAGCAAGTACTCAACTGCTGAGCCCGTCTCTCCAGCCCCTGACACAGGACAGTTCTTCACAGAAGAAACTCCGCTAGCAAAATGTACAGAGAATGAAGACTTAGGAACGCCCACAGTTTTGCACTGAGGAAATGGACCGTCCGCATGTTAACAGCATCAGGTGAAGGTTGCTGTAATGTTGACACTGATCGCCCAGGATCCAGCGCTTAATTGCAGCGTCGATAGAGATACCCAGAAAGTAGGGGCCCCTTCACACATCAGGGGCAGCTCAAGCTCAGTGTGCCCCTAGGGCTGTGGTTCCCAACCTCCCTAATGCTGTGACCCTTTAATACAGCTCCTCATGGTGTCGTGAACCCCCTGCCCCCAGCCATGAAGCTATTTTTGTTGTTATTTCATAACTGTAAATTTTGCTACTGCTATGAATCGTAACATAAATAGCTGAAATGCAGGATGTCTGATAGGTGACCCTCCCAAGGGGTTGGGACCCACAGGTTGAGAACTGCTCCTCTAGATCAACATGAGCTCCTACAGAATTGGGAGGACCCAGGCTGTGTAGCTCAAGCGTACTGGGAGCAGATGAAGAGAGCAGACCATTCTGTAGGCAAGGGGATCCAGAGGGGGCTGTCACCCATGAAGCCAGCACCAAGACACCCCAGCACAGGACCTGGACTGCCTATGGCCTTGTAGAAGTTGCTGCAGAGGCTGGTGGCAGATTCTCACAGAGTCTAAAGGAAGGGTCTCGGTAAGTCCAGGTAGTAGGTTCCCATAGAGGCCAGAGGGGTTGAATCTCGGAGCTGGAGTTAGGCAGGTGCAAGCCACCTGCCGAGAGCAACTCAGACGCTCTGCGTTAGTAGTCTGCAATCTTAGCGGCCAAGCTATCTTTCCGCCAGCAGCCCACCACCATCGTCCCTCCCTTATTAACGAATGTCAATCACGTCCCCACCAGGTGCGGGTCATAGGCAGATATCAAGGGTCCTCCTGTCCCCACTTTCCCTGGGTTCCTACAAGAAGGAGCATTTCCCCGGAGCCTGGCCCTCTGGCCACGCTCCTGTTTGTGGCTGGGTGGCACACTCCCAGGTTTGTTTCTGAACACCAGGAGGTGGGGGGTGGGCATTAGAGTTCTCCTGGGGCTCTCACGCCCCAGGAGGACCGCCCCTCCCGCACCCCCACAATGGTGCACAGTCTTACAAGGTACCCACGTGCCCACTCTGCTTCTAGCTAGCTCTGGGGGGAGGGGGAGGAGACGCAAACTCTGATCTTCTATCTTCGGTCATCTAGTGCCACCAAGTGGTCAGTGCAATTTCTCCACCTCGGGAGACAGGCTGCCCCGCCCCCGTCTCCGGAGCACTACCGTTCTTTCTGGCATTTGATCAATGTTTCAAATTTGAGTCAATGTGTCAAAGACGTTACAAGCTGCCTTCTCTCCTCCTCAGTCCAGAATATGACTGTGGGGGTAACGGGGGCAACATAATTGCAGTGTGATAAAGCACAAGTTAGAAAATCAAAGTTCTGCCCATGAGAGCTGCCTGAGTGTCCATCCCCAGAGCGTCTGCATTTATTAAACCCAGACAACAAGAAACCGTTTTTTTTTTTTCCCTCCATCTGCTGGCCTTGGTCTAGCACATGTGCCCTTATTCGATCAGTCAGTCTTTAAGTCCAGAGAGATGTGTGTTCCCCATATTGTGTCCCAGGTCCTTGAGCATTCTTGGTTACATTAAACCAGGGCCCTGCAGCCCAATCCTGCCCTTTCTGCCACGTGATGCTGGGCAGGCTCCTAGATTGCTTATGGCTGATTTTGCTCATTTCTGTGATGGTTCATGGCATTGTCTCATACAGCTACTGTGTGCTTAACAAACATATCTGTGTGTGTGTGTGGGGGGGGTGTTAGGTTGGTGCACACAAGTCACAGTGTCCAGGTGCATGTCACAGGGCAACCTTAGGTGGCAGTCCCTGCCTTTCAGCCTGTTGTTCACCACTGCCCCTAGGCCAGCTCACCCATGAGCTTCTCGAGAGTCTCGTCTCTGTCTTCCATCTGGCTATAGGAGCTCTGGAAGTATAGACCTACATGGAACCATCTCCCTAGGCCTCACTGTGAACTTAGAGGTTTTTAGATTTTTAAAATTTTATTTTACACATATGAGTGATTTGCACATATGCACCACATGTGCATGCCTAGCACCCTTAGAGGCATCGTGTACCTCAGAATTGGAGTTACGGATGGCTGTGAGCCAGAATGTGGGTGCTGAGAACCAAACCCCAGTCTTCTGCAAGAGTAACACCTGCTCTTAACCGCGGAACCACCTCTCCAGCCCCAGTCACTGTGAACTTTTAAATACTCATGGCACCCAGCGGGTAGAACTACACAATCAGGATTCCCCCACCTTCCTCCACCCCATGTTTGGAAAGTTAATAAATGCACCACATACTGAGAAGCTCCTAAGGGGATCACCCAGGATGGGAGGAGGCTCAGGAGCCGGACCAGTTACCAAGGCACTGAAGTAAGAGTGCTGGACATCTCCTGTGCCCACTGTCCCCTCCTCCCTGAGGCTCGCAAGCCAGATGCATGGGAAAGCAACTTACTCCAGCTCATCTTCGGAGTCATAGCCCACCGGCCCCGACTCGATGGGAATGACCTCGCTCTTGGCCTGATTTTGCTTCCAGGTGCTGTTTCCCGTGGATGAGGGCGATTCCTTTCTCTTCTTCTTCCCAAACAACTTCTTAAACGTTTTAAATTTGGATTTTTTCTTTCCTGTACAGATGAAGAAGAAGAAAAAAAAAAGATTAGCAGGAATGTGTGTCAGAGTGCAGGCGTGTGATGGGCACAGGTAACAAGAAATCAAGGACTCAACGTACCACAGAGAGAAGCACATGACCTAAAGTCTGCACCTCCCAAACAAATATTGGTTTCCATCTTTTAAAACATTAAAATTGTATGTGTGTAGATGTTTTGCCTGGGTGTGTGTCTGGCCACACGTGCATGCACTGGCCAAAGAGACGTGATGAGGGTATCAGATTCCCCAGGACTGGAGTTACAGATGGTTGTGAGCTGCCATAGGGGCACGGGGATTTGGAAGTGGGTCCTTTGGAAGAGCGGCCAGTGCGCTGAATCTCTCCAGGTCCCCTTGTTTTCCATCTTTAGGGTATCAGCATATGAACCAAGAATGCTGGATGGAGTATGATCAATAAATCAAAACCCAAGCGACCTTCCTCTTACCAGATACCATGTTCTTTAAGTCTCTGGAATATGCATACTATTTCATACACACCGTACACATAACGTGCCAGATGAGGCAAAGGCGTATGATAACCTAAGTTATTTTCTTAGAAAACATATACGTTATTTTTTTTTAAGGATTTATTTTATTTTTAAAATTGCGTGTTGGGGTGGGTGAGAAAAATGAGCAAACCGTGGCTGTCCCTACAGTGGAGAGAGGTTGTGTCCAGGCCGAGCTCCTCGGCTGTCACTTTATTCTTTCCCACGGGGTCTATCAGACCCAGGAGCCCATGACGTCACCAGGGCAACCCAGACACGTTCACTACTTCCCTTGTGAGTATTTGTCAGGCGGGACAACAGGAGGAAGCAGAGCCAGAGAGCACAAGTACGCTGTGTGGCCCGGCAGAAGTTTGCTGAAACAGTCTTTATAAGTTTAAAAATGGAATCAGTTTAAAATATAAGGGAGGGCATTCCTAATTGTCTTTGTGTTAAAGTCCCCTTGGAAGTTCACCTTGCCTTCACTTGAGATTCTGCCAGCAAGATTGGAGCAAATGTCTCTCCTCGGGGGACAACGTTCTATGGCAGTTTGTGTGTGTGTGTGTGTGTGTGTGTGTGTGTGTGTGTGTGTGTGTGTGTGTGTGTGTGTGTATCCCCAGTGGAAACTTCCTTTTACGTCTCAAAATGTTTATCTTGCATGCAGATGGTTCTCCATCAGAGGTTATGTTGAAAGACTCCCAGGAGGTGTCTGCATTTGACAGGGACACCACCTGGCCTTCCAATAGTCAACAAATTATTAGGTGTCCCCGGAGACCTGAACAAATAAACGGCCTCTCTGTCTTGACACCCAGGTGTGCTTAGGACATGAACAGTGGGGGTAGGAGGTGGCTATAAAGGGCAGAATCCAACAGCTGTGCCCTTTTATGCCAACTGTAACTCCAGCTTCAGGTGATCTGGCGCCCTCTTCTGGCTTCTGCAGTCACTGCATGTATACAGACGCCTAAATCAGTTTAATCACAAGAACCTCAAGTTCAATCGGCCATCTCGTTTGTTTTTATTTCTTCCTCTCCTAAGATTAGTGACCCGACTTCTCAAACAGTTACAGGACTGATCCACTTTCCTACTTCTTCAGTTTGTTCTGTTGTTTCTTATATCTAGGGATTTCTATACATTTTGAAATTTCAAATTTACTTGCAAAAAGGCTCTCTCATGGAGGATCTACTGCAGGATCTGTAGTAGTGCCTCCTTTTTCGTGTCCAGGGTTAATTATCTGTCCCTCCTCCTTCTTCCTAGGTCAGCTATACTGATGACTTGTGAAAAGTCTCTCCAGCATGCTGGATGAGAGCTCTACCACTGAGTAACACCCCCAGGCCCAGACTTGCTATTTTTTTTAAAGGTTCTTTTGATGAAAGCCTACATTTTTTAAAACCTTCGCCAATAAATACATTTCATTTTAGTTTTCTCTAGATCTGTTAAGTTCTACGCATTATAAAAGTTTGCGTTTTCATCATTATTTGGTTAAAGTATTTTCTGATTTCCATGATCGTACCTGTTTAGATCTGCGAGTTATACAGAAAGGCAGGTCTTCATTCCCAAGCACTTGGCAACCTTCTCTCTCTTGTTATTAACTTCACTGTAGTGAGATCATGCACCCTGAATTTTGTTCCACTCTAATCTGTTGAGACTGACTTACGGCTCACCATATTGACAGTTCCCATACACTTCCCATAATGCTCGGAGAGCAATGCATTTTCCTCTCTGATTTAAAGATGACAATTTGGACACTGCCATTTTAATTTTGTTTTTATATTTCATCTCTCTACTAATTTTTAAAATAAATTCATCCTAACAATATCAGAGGGGGGGGGGGTTATTTACCCGTCTTTAGCTGTCAATTTCTACTTTACAACTTTTAAGGGTCTATCAGTGGCAAACTTAGGTCTCTGACAGCATCTGTTTCTCCCTCAGTTATGACGTACATCCTTCTCGGGTTTGGCCTTCTAGGTTGGTAGTTATTTTTTCTAACGAGGCACAGTTTCATGGGCTCCCCTGTATCGTTAGAAATTAGCCATCACTTTTCCTTTCCCTCCTGTGAAGGTTAACCCCCCACTTCCTGGGACTTAAGATTTCTAATTTGAACTTTGGCTTTCTACATCTTCCCCTTTGTATTTTTACTGCCCTTTAATTATCCCTCCTAGGAGAGACACTGGGTTTCTTTTATTTATTTGATTAATTTATTTTTATTTAGGTGTAGGTGTTTGTACAAACGCAGTGCCTTCAGCGGCCAGCAGAGGGTGCCTGACGGCCTGAAGCTGGAGTTTCAGGAAGCCTTGTTGGGAACTGAACTGGGTCCTCTGCAAGGGCAGCAAATGCTCTTCACACTAAACCATCTCTCCAGGCCCTCACTGGGCATCTTAAATCTGTGGACCAGGCTATTTTTTTTTAAACAATCCTAGAAACTTCCTGGGCATCCTCTCCTCTCTGAGCTTGTGTGGATGCAGGCTGCAGGCTATAGCTTAGCTCTGCCTTTGTCTTCTGTGCTGGTTCCCATCTTTTCATCACTCCACTCTGCATTTGATACGATTCCCAGTGATCTTGACCCGGTGTAAACTGCTCTTGATCTGAACACTGAAGTTTTACTAATTATATTCACTTAAAAAAATCCACTTGTTTTTAAAAACTGCAATATCATTTAAAATTATTTTAAATTATGGTAAAGAAAAATCACTCTTGCATCTGTACAGCAGCACAATTACTTCCTCAATCCAGATGCAGAACATCAGTCTGTACCATCTCCTCATGCTTCCCACCCTTGACATGCAGCTGTTCATGGCTCTGCTCTTAGAGTTTCAGGTCAAGTCACAGTGTGTAGATCGGGTCTCAGTATACAGTCTTTCCCTTAGAAACTCATTTACATTGTTATTAGATACCAGTAGTTTGTCCTTTTTATTGCCCAGCAGTATTCCATTATATAGATAAACTGATTGGTTGACTGGGCAAAGGACTTTCGGCAATCACGAATAAAGTCACTTTCAGTTCCTGTGTGAACCTAAATTTTCATTGCCCTTTTAATACTTCCGTGTAGGGGTGTGTGTTTAACTTCATAAGAAATTGCCAAAATGTCTTTCCTTTTTTTAAAAAAAAATATTTATTTTTATTTGTTTGTTTGTTTATTTTTGTTTTTTTGAGACAGGGTTTCTCAGTGTAACAGCCCTGGCTGTCCTGGAACTCGCTCTATAGACCAGGCTGACCTCGAACTCACAGAGATTCACCTGCTTCTTCCTTGCTTCAAAGAGTGCTGGGATTAAAGGCATGCACCACCACTGCCTGGCCCACCAAAATGTCTTTCAAAGTGGCTCTATCATTTTGTTTTCTACAGGGAAAAACATCATGACGAGTACTAGTCAGGGTATTTTTTAAGTTTTAATATAGCTTAAAGCTATAGTTTTAATTTGTATCACCTACTGAATATAGATGCTGCCATCTGTCCATGTTCCTAGGTAGACCATCATTATAAGTTCCTGTCCAATTTAAAATTAGGCTTGTTTTGTTAATCATTATTATTAATTATTGTTATTTTACTTCACATAGTTTCAAATGTATAGCGTAAGGTTTTGTTTTGTTTTTAACCAGTGTGATTTATAGTTTTCCCAATCTGTGACTTATATTTTTGTTTTCTTAATAGTGTTTTTGCAGAGAAAAAGTTTTAAATTTTGATGAGGTTCCATTCATAAAATTTTCTTTTACAAATTAAGGTGTTGAATCTAAGAACTCTGATGTAAGAAATGTTTTCTCTTAGCCTCCTTATGAAGGATTAGGGTCTAAATGCATGTCTGTAGCACACTTTGAGCTGTTTCGGATCATCGGTGAGGTGCAGATCGATGATGCTTTTTGCTTTCTTTCTCTCTCTGTTTCCTTCCTGCTCTCCCTTCTCTTTCCTCTGTTATTAATTTTATTTTATCTCATTTTATGAATGTTTTGCCTGCATGTGTGTAAGTGTATCACGTGCAGACATCAGATCTCCAAGAACTGGAGTTACAGATGGTTGAGTCACCATGTGACTGCTGGGGACTGAACTCAGGTCCTCTGCAAGAGCAAGTGTTCTTAACTGCTGAGCCAGCTCTTCCCTGGTTTGTTCCAGCCCCTCTTCTCTGGTTTGTTGTTTGTTTGTTTGGACAGGGTCTTACTGCATCCCACACTGGCCCTGAACTTCCTATGTAGATGAAGATGACCTTCCATGCCTCAAGTTCCAGTTTTTACCTCCCAAGTGCCCTACTCTAAGTAGGACAGTTGGGCAGTCTTTTGAGAAAACAGTTTGCTTCTGCACAGTACCTGGGTCATCATGTCTGATCTAGAAGCACCGCTGACCCAAGTTCAAGGGTGGAGGTTCTCTGGGTCATCCAACTGAAGCTACAAATTTACCGGAGGGCTGATTTATCTGTGGTTCACATCCACTCCACCTCTGTGGCTCACCAAAGCGAAGGCCTTCTATTAGACGGTCTCCTCAGATCCTGTATCTCGCCTTCTACTCACCCCTCACATCTTACCCCACAAGAAAATGAGATTCAAAATTTCAGAGTAAAAGACTAAAGAAAAATGTGCTCACCCATCTTTATGAGTTACTATTTTCCTTTCCACTCGTGTTCTCATCTAGAATTTTCAAAACTGAACATGGAAAAGTTGCTCTGATTACAGTAAGTCCACTATTATTTGAAACAAAAATACAATACCTAGATTCTCTCATTTTCTAAGATTGATTCCTTATGGTGACCTATGTAGAACAAACTGGCATCTACTGAAGCTCTTTGGGGGGAGACAAAATACTTACTATAATATTTTCTTATTTTAAAAAGCAATAATTCAGTGTCCCACGATATGATATGGTTTGAATGACCATTTTCCCCACTGAGGGTTAATCTTACAGTACCCTTACCTCGTATTTGGATTTACTTGGTACCTACTGAAATACGAGCAGAAAAGTGGTCCTAATATAAAATGAACAATCCATCTTCACATAGGAAATAGAGTGTTCACTGGGATGAGTGTCTAAAGGCAGCAGCCGGCCGCTGGGTTTAATATCACTGGAAGTTATTTTTCCTGACCTAAGTCACAGAAAATCACTCCTGGGATTCTGAATTTCAACAAGAGAGGTTAGAGACCTTTGCTAACAATATGAAGTGAGTGAAATGGCTGGAAATCCAGGGGGATGTGCACCAAGGGAGATCAGTGTCTTTTAATATTGATTTCACGACTGTATCAAGACATAAATAGCAACCCCATGACTAGATTGGAATGTGCTCCGAATGGATGATTCACAGGCCTGGAAGTTGGCTCAGCAGAAGCTAAGATAAAGGCCTTGTTAAAGTCATAAGAGAAGGGTCAAAGACTCTTTAGCTGTAATTATTTTCTCTGGAGGACCAGCTCATCCTGTGCTTTACAAAACCTCCTACGCTTACCTTCGGAAAGTGTTGGATGATAAATGAATCCATTTAGCCTTGGCCTCTCCATGTAACTCCGCCTAGCCTTGAACTCATGACATCAAAGTGCAGGTGCTCCTGGGCTAGCCCCTGCACCTTTGCTTTCAAGTCAAATACAGGGCCATGTTTACCTCTAGGAAAAGGAAAAGGACATCAAAGCCCCAACTCTTGGGCAGAGCAGCAAGAGATCAATGCTGCTGAATGGCGTTAAATGGAAAAGGAGTGAGTGCGAGGCTGGGGATCTCTGAGCACACTGCGCATGCGCGGGGCCTGAACACGCCTCTCCACACAGGAAGCCACAAAGCCCAGCTCCAACCAACCAAACAGCCTCTTCCCAGACCTTACCTGTGCCGTCCTCCCCGAGGCCTTCAGCAGCTTCCCGAAGCTTGATGTCCATTACCCTTGTGGAAATCATGTCCAGCTCACTAAAACCAGACGGAAACCCATGTTAGAAGAACACACGGAGCAGAGTGACCAGTGAGTGCCGTGGTGGTGGGACTGCTTCGGCCTGTCACCTCACCTGCATATAACTCTGAAAAGTCAGAGACGAGGGCAGAGAGGAGGACAGTGCAGGCCATGTCCACAGCCACGTGGGTAGCAACCACAGAAGCGTCTTTTTTTTTTTTTTTTTTTTTTTTTGGTTTTTCGAGACAGGGTTTCTCTGTGTAGCAGCCCTGGCTTTCCTGGGACTCACTTGGTAGTCCAGGCTGGCCTCGAACTCACAGAGATCCACCTGGCTCTGCCTCCCGAGTGCTGGGATTAAAGGCGTGCGCCACCACTGCCCGGCCAGAAGCGTCTTTCTAATTACTGATGTCAGCAGTTTCACAGACAACGTAACCCAGGTCAGAGACTTTCAAAGTTCCCCTCAAATGGTAAGAAATTGCTGTTTGTTTTTCCTTTAGCAAGTTTGAAAAATGTGAAGAATAAAAATATCACCCATGATCCCACCAACTAAGTATAATCACAATGAATGCTTTAGTCTCTTTCCAAACTACCTTCTTCACACAGATATTTGTTATCCATGCACACGCATTAAGAAACCTGACTTCTGACTTTTGTAGCATACTACTTTATTAAAATTCTTCCTATGTATTATCTGAATGGCTACACAATATTTTATTATTATTTACACTGAGTCTTGTGGTTTTGAACTTGGGGAAAATTCCAAGCAAATACGGAAGTACAGTGAACTCCACATAAAATTATCCTCTGTCATTGTACCTCACACCCATGCTCGCTCCCTAGATCATTTCCAGGTAAATCATCCCAGTTACCTTTACCATTTCATCCAAATGGGTTTACCTTCTTCCTAAATAAAAGTACCTGATTTACTCATCCATAATCCTACTACAGAAATCGGTACTACTTGTATTTCTGCCTCCCAAACCCAACCCAGGACAACAAGCTCTCCCTCTGTGTACAGCTCACTCTATCCGGAAAGCTATTGTTTCCTGGGAGTGACTATGAATCTTCATACTGAAAAAGAGAGGTTCAAATGTTTGATTAACCAATTCATAGTTTGGCTCTTACAGAGGATAAAATGATGGGGGGAATAGAATGAACATATTTAACGGAAGGAAAGAAACATGCACACCATTCTGTGCTAGAGTTGGCACTGATGTTTAATATAAATGTTAGAGTGCCTGCCCTCCCTCCAGACTGGTTTCTTTTAACATTTTTCATCATCATCATCATCATCATCATCATCATCATCATCATCATCACCATCACCTGAGACAGGCTCTCACTACGTAGCATTAGCTGGGCTGGAACTTGGAGATCTGCCTATCTCTTCCTCCCTGTCTTAGTTCGGGTTTCTAGTGCTGGGATAAACCAGCATGACCAAAAGCAGAAGAAAGGGTTGATTTCAATTTATAGTTCTCCAACAACCCATCACCGAGGGAAGTCAGGACAGAAACTCAAACAGGGCAGGAACCTGATGCAGAGGCCATGGAGGATGTTGCTTACTAGCTTGCTCAGCTTGCTTTCTTATAGAACCCAGGACCGCCAGCCCAGGGAGGGCACCACCCACAACTGAACCCCCCACATCAATCATCAAACAAGAAAATACCCACAGGCCAATCTGGTAGGCTTTTTTTTTTTTTTTCTCAATTGAGGTTCCCTCTTCCAAAATGACTCTAGTCTGTGTAAGTTTACATAAAGCTAGCCACTATACTCCTGGTTGCTGAAATTAAAGGCATATGCCCACACCTATCGTTTTTAAAATTGTGTGTGTGTGAAAGAGACAGAGAGAAAGAGGGAGGGGGTGGGGAGGGAGGGGAGAAGGGGGGAGAGAGAAGGAAGTAGGGAGAGGAGGATGGGGGGGAGAGAGGGGAAGGGAGAGAGGGGGAGAGGGAGAGAGAGGGAGAGAGAGGGAGAGAGAGAGAGAGAGAGAGAGTTTGTTCAGATGCCTATAGAAGCCAGAAGAGAGTGTTGGATCCTCTGGAGTGGCGTTACAGGCGGTGTGAGCCA